GGGGGGGGGTTTATTAATCCTAGGTCGCCATTAGGTAGGGAAATCTCATTTAAAGCCCCTTATCACCTCCGAGTTCGGAGCTGGCGGGCAAGGATTCCTTGGTCGGAGGTTTCTCAAAAGTGTAGGAAACCAAACCGCGAGCCAGTAGCTTCCCGTTTGCTACAACTGCTACGAAGCGGTTCTTATTCTTGGTGATTGGTTATTAGGCCCCTATAACCAGTTGCCAGAAATACTGGTGGTGCAAGACGCTGGTGACTTGCGAAGATGACACTTAAAAAAAGCCACGGGATTTCCACAAGAGCGTGCATCATGGCAGCCCAGTTTGTGTGCGCTGCTGCCTCGACTGTAGCTCCCTTAACTGAAGTAGTTCATGCTGATGCTGCCTGCTGACCACCTGAATTTCACACCTCTTCACTCAACAGACGCAGAAGGGTGCGTGGGCTCTATGCCCGTGTCACCATCATTCCCACAGCACTATGCAAGTGGCTCTTACATGATTTCCTGCCTGAAGCGTTTGAAATTAGCCGAGTTCGCATGAACTCCGCCCGAGTCTCGTTGATGCATAAGTTGAACAGCTGTAAGTCATAATCCCTCGAGTTCTGACTCCCTACAACCCTAATCCATCAACTCTACAAAAGCCACTATACACCCCATACCCTAAACCTGCTTTGATCAGGGCCGTAGGGAACCTCATGCTGAGGCGAAAAGCCCTTATTGCAGAGCGCACCAACAATTACCAAGTGACCACCTCCCATTGCTTGTCTTGCACGCAAGCATCCTGAACCTGCTTCGGGGCTTTCACCCTGCGTATGCCTTTTGGGTGGGTATGGGTCTGCAGGCAGAACACCCGACTCACTTGTTGGAAAACCCTAAATAAACCTTAAATTGCTTAGCCGAAAATGCCCCTTAAACCCCATTAAAGTTCAAAGGGGTCCACCCACTGAGGGCAGTTTCCCTTTTAGGGCCTCATCGCCCTGGTCCGACCGAACCTGCGCCTGGCATATGGCTAGAATGGGGAGCATACAATGCGTTTAGAAGTTAGGCCTTAGGGGGTCGCGCTCTGGCTTACAAGTCCAAAGACCGAAAGTAGGGTCATGCATTCTCTCTGCCTTGCGAAAATCGAGGCATCTCCGACTTTTGCATACTCAAAGAATGGAAGCCCAAACCGCAACTCCTCTCTGCCAGAAACTCTTGATCATCTCCTCCCATGTGTCAACCTCAAGATCATTTTTTGGTGTTACATAACATGCAGGTCTCAAGGAAAATGGACTGTTTTCTCCCTTCCTCCCGAATGGGGATACCGGGATACCGCTGGTCATCAGGAGACAGAGAGAACTGGAACAACTCTAAGACAGCAACATGTACCTCATTTCTGCGAGATTAATTCTGCTAGAGATGTCGTCTGTCCATACTGGGCAAACTGCCCAACAGATGTAAGGAATCGATGAAGGCCTGTGACAGGAATCGAGAGGATGCTGCTGCCACTGCGGAAGCCTGTCACGAATCCCGAGATGTTGGTAATCCTTCTAAAGTTCGAAGTATAAACCCTTAGCCTTAGTGTGGGTCGTAAACGGTAGGATCCTCCTATCCCTCTTTGATAGCTTACATGTGTGTTTCTGAGGGGCCCAGAATCCCGAACAGCGCAGGCTCGTGGCCCATACTTGCGGGCGCTAGCTTAAATGTCGGGTTCCTTTTGGGGCTTCTTGCAAATTAGGAAGACTGCTTTTGTTGCGGGGACCAAATGGTAAAAGAGTTTGGGCAGCGAGGAGTGCTGTGTTGATCTGTGCCTATAATCAATGATGGAGAGCTCTGGAATTCAGCTTGTATGTACGGATTAGTTAGTCTAGAGCTGCTGAAATGGGAATGGGGATCTGCACAATCCCTGCCAGCAAGCCCAGCCCGCAAATGGGTCATCCCTCGAGTCATGTGGGTTAAGGAGGGCTCTAGCGTCATTGCTACTATACTGTTGCTATTCTTACTCTTATCAGCGTCACCATGCTATATCACTAGCACCCTTTGCGGACTCCTTCTGAACTGAACCCTATGTAGACCCTACAGTCCCAAACCGCAACGGTCGTACATCCCCGTACTGCACAGTCTGCAAGTCTAGACACCAGCCCTGAAATCTCAATCGGTCAAGTCTATGCCTCCTCTGCCGCATGCTCCAGTCGGACGTGCTTTGTCCTCAAACTGTTTTCCAGTATCTCTCATGCTTTTCAGGTTCTTTTACTGTACGGAGATTTATACTTGCACGGAAAATGAAACAACGCTGAGGCAAGGCTTGAAACCAAGGATGGCGAACAACAGGCGCGCGTTGTCAAGGAGTCGATCCATCACCATCCGCTTGTGTAGGGGTTTGGGGTTCCGAGGTCATGTGAAACATGTAAGCTTAGAGATCATTTGTCGGATTAGCGGTCCTTTTCCAATTTCTTCCTATTTGAAGGCTTTACCTTTCAATGATGTGTAGCGTGGTGCCAAGAGATTGCGCGCTATGATAAGAAGGTGGGAGAACGTACTTGATGAACATTCAGATTCGGCAGTGATTCTGCAGCACAGGTTTCACAGGTCGCCATCTACTGGCCTTCCGAAATGAACATCATCTCGGAAGATTTCGGATTTTCACTTTCCCTTCGAAAGACGATCTTCCTGTAGGGTCATTTCCGTTTGGGGTCCCATAACAAGCGCACCTGGGGACGACTCCGAAGTCAAGGCGTGTAACTTTGAAGGCTTTGCGGAGAAACATAGCCCGACAGTAGACTTCTCCATTTTGGGGTTAAAATGTCAGGCTGAAGCCCAGTTCCCTAAGGGTCCAAGGACC